TTTTTTTTTTTTTTTTTTTTTTTGTAGTACAAGGGATTAAACCTAGTACAGGAGCCACAGCCAGCTTGTAGTGTCATAGAGAAGGGTCACTGCCTACAGGTCTACTGTTCTGCCTGTTATTCCCTCACTCCACCCCTCAGAACTCCTGAGAACTGATCTTTTACTATCACCACAGCTTCATCTTTCCCAAAACATCATGAAGTTGGAATGACTCCACGCACATCCTGTCCTGCCTGCCTTCCTCCACTTCACAGTGTGTGGTTAAGGTTCCTCCGTGTCTTTTTGTGGTCTCATAGCTTGTTTCTTTGTGCTATTGTCCAACGTTCCATTGTCTGGATGTCTCACAGTCTGTCCGTTCTCCTCATAAACATCTTAGTTGCTTCTCAGCTTTGACAGTTATGAATCAAGCTGCTATAAACATTTACATGTGTATTTATGTGCAGCCATAAATTCCAACTCGTTTGAGTAAATGCTGAGGGTTATGGTGGGTCATGTGTATCACATCTAGCAATTGCTAAGTGACTTGCAAAGACCTGTCGAATTTAGGGCTGAGGTGTAGCATACATGAACTTCACTGATTGTAAGTGGACACCCACCCCCCAGACATAACCTTGTCCTAGGTTCTAACACAATTCATTGTTCTGCCACTCAGGCAACTCCCATCCCACAGGTTTTAAAAGTGGATTCTTATTGGGGGGGGGACAGGAAGTGGTGGTGACATTTTGCTTCAAATTGGTTTGTTTGGAAACCTAATTCATCACACAATTGTTTTCTGTGCTTCCTGGGAAAATGTTTTCAGTTTCGTAGACCAGTGACTGAGTGGGGAGGTCTGTTTGTTATCATTATTGGTGACTGAACTCAAAACTTTTGCACTGAGATACATTTTCAGGTCTTTTAATTTTAATTTTTTTATCTTGAGATAGGGTATAAGATGTCCAGGCTTGAACTTTCAATCCTCCTGGCTCAGCCTCCTACAGTGTTGGGGTTATAGGTATGCTCGACCCTATCCAGTTCACTGTTTTTTATTTATAGAAGCAAGAGGTGAGCAGAGTTGGCCTATGGGTTATAGTATGCTGAACATGGTATAGCACGGTAAAATTCATATTGAGGTCTCATCCCACATTTGAGTCCCCATGTGCTTCACATGTAGTTTCAGACCTCATATGACTCCTAAGCACATTCCAGGTTGAACTTCGACTACGCTTTCCTCCAGAGTGGAAGATGATGTATGTGGGTCCAGAACCATGGAAATGGATTTCCAAATAGAGGAAACTTGGACATAAACCCAGCAAGATCCTCCCTACACTGAGAACACCTGCAGTGACACTATTTCCCCCTTGCTGAATGAGTCTCATTTTCTCTACTCTTTCTGAGGTAACAACTTCCACCTGGTCTGTGGAGAAGAGTGTCAGGTACTGAGTTGAAAATGTCACTTGTTAGAAATGAGCATGATGGGTCATCTGGGGGAATATGTACGGATCAGGAGTCCTGGGGGATCCCCTTGAAGAGAAAGTTGTGGTCAGAGGGGGAATTTTGTCACATGGCCCATTAGGAGTGGAGTGGAGCTATTCTGAGAGCTGCTGTGGGCTGAGGTGTGTTTCAAAGTACTCTGAGTGTGCCACTCCCATTGAAGGCTGCTGTGCCCTATGGAGTGGCTTCTCTTGGAATTCACACTTTACAGAAGGAGAAGAGGTGCTGAGAGGTCATGTGGCACAAGGAAGGTCACAGAGCTACTCAAAGCACAGAAGCCCTGGTAGTTGGGTGCCCAGATAGCTGGGAACCAGTGTGGTGTTTGTC